ATGGGAGCCTAGGTCCTGCTTTCAGCATCTTCAAAAACCTCAAAGGGAAAACAAAGGGAATGTCAGAGAGATCTACCTGGGTGCCTGAGAAAGGCGATTAGATTGCAATGCCATCTTGTGGAATAGGAGAAAATGAAAGATGGAAAAAAATTGCTCAGCCACCTCTTTGCAATTGCACATTATTTCCCAGGAACGCAGACACTGGTGAGGGCCCAGCACGGATGTACATTCAGTTGTGGTTGCTCCTCATTTTCCTGAAATATTAAAGGCATATAGAGTAACAACTTGCAAAGACACTCCTTTCCTCACCGCTGTTCAGAAAACAGAGACGTTAGGCCAGAAATAGAATTTGACCCTTTTTGCTTGTTTTTAGCTTTCACTATGATAAAGTCACAATCTTCTTTGCTGCTTTCCTAAAAAACAAGCCTTTCTCCTAGGCTAAGCCCTCTGCTACAGGAGAGTCAGCCAGAAGAGTTACTTAGGTAAGAGCGGGAACAGGACCACACTGAGTCCCATCCAGACTGTTCCCCCCACCAACTCGTGCGATAGTTTAGCAGGACCTGAAGAACATTCCTGCGTGACCTGGACACGTGCTCAAGTCCAAACACACATTCTATCTAGAAGTCCATCCCATCTGAGTACTTTCGCTGTCATTAGGGGACTCTATACATAACCTCAACAGAATTTGGTTGCGATGGCCTCTACATATGTGGCATCTACTACTTTGCTCTCACAGCTGTGTCACATGTTGCTAAAATCTCCATAGCTCATTCAGACATGAGCACCTCAGGCAACAGGATGCTCTCATCACCAACAAAGCACATTTTAGCCAACCTCTCTGCAGGGGGCTGCCTACACAAAAATCTTTAAGTAGGAAAATGAAAAAAAAAACTCAAAGAGGGGAAGTTATTAAGAAAAAAACACCCAGGTAAGCTGGGATCTAGCTGAGGAAGAAGTAGGTCTTTCTCCTCTCCATGATTAGGCCAACTACAACCCACAGACTGGAAGAGCGAATCACGGGCTCTTTGCAGACTCCTGACAAATACTAAGTGCTTGAACCTGACGATGAACAGAATTCAAAACACACAGTTGTGTATCACGTTAAGAGCGGTCATGTTTTGGAGCCCTTACAAAACCTGCACGGATTGACTTGGAGCGTCATGCATCCCAAAGAGAGGAACCGTAAGCCCACAGCCCTCAGGGACCTGAAGCGCCAGGAAAAGCGTGTTTAAGCTGCTGAGGTTTGGGGACGGCAATCAAAGAGGAAAGCCTAGCGCTGGCAGGCTCCGAGCTCCCACTTCTGCTGAATGGGCAACGAAACCTGTTCTCAGGACCAGTGCCAAAGATGCCAAGGTAAGAGCTAATGCCAGAGCCCGCTCAGGCCACAGGAGGCTTAAAAACTACATCAGGTCAGTGCAGTACAACCCAAACAACGGGGCTGGGAAGAATGACAGCAATGCAACAGCGCTCGTTTTAGGGCAATCGTTTTCCTCCAAATAAACCTTTTTCATCCAAGGAATTGGAACGGATGAGATCAAAATTAAGCTATATCCACTTAGGATAAACAAAAATACTGAAGGAATCAGGAGCACTGCATCAGCAAGGTATCAGGGCATTTGCCATACAGCCAGCTTGTTCCAGCCCAAGGGTTTGTCTAGGGGGAAGGAAGGTTGTTTATTTTCACTAGCATCTCAAATTTAACTATACCTACATTTACTTTTTTTTTTTTTTTAATCCTACTGCAGTTGTTAAAAGGACATTCTGTGGGTTAAGTTTCTAATAAAAATATTAGTGATAAATTGCTAATGAGTGCTATTCTGCACAAAAAAACCTAAAGGTATGCAAACCGGGGGAGAGGGGAACAGGGTCAGACACAAACAAACCCAAGACAGCCAGTGGTAAAACTGAAAAGTTAGGATTGTACACTCAGTCATTCCTGCAGCAAACTGGGTGAAGGCAGCCTAACATTTGATTAACGGTTTGCACACACATTTTGGTGAAAGCTGAATTCTGAAATCTAGGAAATATATATACCCTAACGTCCTCCTAGATGCCCAGCATATGCTGAACAGGAATAAAACAATGCCAAGTAGCATACATACATTTATTTGCAGATGACCATTTTCAGAAACTTCATAAAATGCAGCACAGTAAGCATAACGCACTGAGCGTATCTCAATTATTCTTCCGTTGCAATCCATGGGAGCTTCCACTGACATCAGTGCGGGGCTCCCCAGGCCACCAAGGGAGATGTGCTCCCGACCGGGCAGCCCTCACGGCGGAGAATCAAGGGCTGGGATTATCAATAGCTCTCAGGCAGCAAGAGCAGTGTCACCAGAAATAAGCTGCAAATGAAACAACACATCCAAAACAACGTGAAAATTTCTGCCACAGCTGCCTATGGCTTAAGGTGCAATAAAAATTTAGAAGCTGCTCTCTGTAACATTTCCCGACCAAGCGACACCTATGTCCGAGCAGACGGGCACCTAGAGCGTGACGCGCACAAGTCATGTTATACATTGGAAGCGACCACTAAAACTTGGAATTACGTTTGCCTGAGAGCAAGACGTTGAAATATTGATTAAAGTTGGATTTCATCAGCAATACTTTGATTTTATTATTATACCCGCTGCTAACAAAGCCACACCCATTAACGCGTTACATTCTTGCTCATAAAAGGGTGATTATTCCACAATTCATGCCAGAACGCTCTGCTTGTATCCACATCCAGTTGCTCCAGTACATGCACTCATCAGGGGAAGGGAAATTAAAAAAAAAAAAAAAAAGGGGGGGGGGGGGAGAAATATTATCAAATGAGGCACAAACACAAAAACGGCCACATACTGCAATAGTGCAGATACTGGTTCCAAACAAATGTCTTCACGACTAAGAAGGAAGGGGTGGGGAGGGAGAGAGAGGCAAACACAGGGCGTTTTATTCCCAGTTTAATCCGAAATTACACTGCCGGAACCAAAGAGCTGCTCAGGATTTTACCAATTTAAACAAAATACTAGAGAAAGTTTTTGAAAAGTTACCTAACAGGTGCCAGTTCTCCTGATGTTTGGATTTGTGCAAGGGATAATTGTCTACACGCAGAAGACTTGTTTGATCTTAACATCCCAGTGATTTTCAGTGCCAAGCATAAGAGTGGAAAAGGGATGGGACGAATGCCATTAAAGCCTGGGTTTTCCAGCATTATTGTTCAAAAACTCATGATTAGGCAGAGTAAAATAGCTATCTGGGGCAATAAAATGTTTACACATGCCCAAATTGTTATGCAAGCAGAGGAAGACCTATCGGAGCAGACGGACTACGGCATGAAGCAGCCGCGCTTCTCACCACCCCTTAAGGAAAAATGTTTTTCAGTGTGGAAAGGGTGAGAGAGGTCACCCCCAAGGAATCCAGCCTGTCCTGGATCCTTCCAGCCTTCCCCTCTCACATCCTCCTCCTCCTCCTCTCAAATTCCCTCCCAGCCAGCGTGGGCTTTAGCATTAAAGAGACAGGCTCATTATCTAGCAATGTTGTTTGGGTTCTGCATTTGCATTAAGACCCTAAAAAAGGTGGGGGGGGGGGGGGAATACCTCACAAGCGAGAAGCTGTTCGACGCCGACACCGTCTTGTATAAAATCGGTTTCACTGCTTGGCCCTGCGAAGGCATTTAGGTTAGCACTTCCCGGCACTTGGGCAGAAAACAAATCGAAACCACGGAAATTGAGGGGAAGGCTCAAAAGGTACAAAGTGGCACCTAGTGTTATTTGAGTGCAATTATTTTTAAAATATAAATCTTGTGTCAGCATTAAAGATTCAAACCAAAAAATCAGTCATGCACTCGGCAGTCACGTCTTTAATTCTATCCACAGTAGGTACGCGAGAAATCAGAGACAAATGGCTCTGACAAGTCAACTTTAACCTCCAGAAGAGGCCACAGATTTTCATCAACTTATATCAATCAAGAGCTTAGCTTTCAAAAAGATATCACGGATGGAGAACCCATTATATTCCTCAAATATATCCTCACTGCTCAAAAAAAAATTCTCACTGCTAGTCTAAGTTTGGTAGTTCACCTACCAGCCACCAGATCTTCACCCTACAGAATAAAAGCTCCCCACAAACAAGAAGCCTTTTTCTTCACCCAGAAATACGACCAAGTCAACTCTCAACCTTCTGTTTACTGAGCTGCACAAATAAAATTCCTTTAACTTCTCACTGTAAGACCATTTTTAAAAGAGCAGAAATTCCTCTTGTAACATTTTGAGTCCTCTGGTTTGTCAAAAATGAACCATGGACACCAAAACTGGACATACTATTTCCAGGACAGTCTCACTAAGACCACCTCCAAACTAATACTAAGGAGTGACTGCAGGTGGACGACACCCACCTTCTCCAAGATAAAAACATTTACTACTATGACCCCCAGCATCCTCCCACATCATTGCTTTTAAAATCCCCACTTCTTCACCCTATACCTGACACACACATGTGCATTGACTCGAGAACCTTGTCTTTGACTATATAAAAATGGAGTCTAGCTTAATTTTATTAACCTGCGTGTAATGAAGTGTCATCAGCAAGGATTTCATGTCTGGCAGGCTCTGAACACCATTTGGCTGAGAACACATTCCTGCAGGACACCACCAGAAATGGCCCCATGGGATTGCTCCCCGTTGTGAGCGTTTTTTGAGAGCTGGTAGCTAAAGAGTTTTTTAAACCTGATTAACATGTACCGCACTGATTTCATGCGGTTCTATAATTTCCAATCAGAATATTGGGTAATACTAGAGTCAAACGGCTTAAGGAAGTTAACTACATCGACTCATAGCAAATGCAGTAAATCAAACCTGCATCAGCTGAAAATCACATTTGAGCTGGCAGAGGGCTTTCCCCCCCACCACTTTTAAAGAAGGTTTTCTTCAGGGGGAAGCACAGCACATACAGCCTCTGAGCACTAGTTTCTAGTCATTTACTAACAGCACAGGATTTGCACTCAAGCCATTTCCTACCGCAGGAAGTCGATTTTCTGTCCACCATCTTCACGTGCCGTGTTTGATTGCGAAGCTTGTCATCCGTGTTTTCAACCAAGTTAGTGAGGTCATCAATGATCTCTGGGGAAAGAGAGAAACACAGCATTAATCTCCAAGCCTCTTAGCATCACTGCTCACCAACCACGCTCCTACTGGAGGCTCCAAAACGGAAACCAGCTGCACCCTTTTGTTTTCCAGTACCACAGACCAGCGTTCCACAGTGCCGAGAAAAAAGTCCTATATTCTTCGACTTTGGCTTCAGCGCACTCCTCCACTGGAAGAGCAGGGAGGAGGAAAAAAAGATAGAGCCTGAAACAGCAGCATCAGTCTAGGTAACCACAGAGCTGAAGCAGAGGGCAATGGAAGCCACAAAACAGTAGTAAAAGTGACAGAATTAATGTGCATGCTATAGCAAATCTCAGATTTCAGTCCCTGGAACGCAGCATCTCAACATGCAGCGTCTCCTTGGCTTTCTCATAGTCATGAAAACAAATTCAAAATCACTATCTTTGAAAATGCTTTGAAAGCATCCAGCACAGCCCCAACCAAACGATCACGGCAGGATACAGTGAAAGTCTCACATTGTTTCAATTACCGCGATGTACAGATGGCAGTTCTGCTTGCAGCCAAGCTGACCCTTAGGGAAAAGGAAAAGGAGCAAAAATTTCTCTTACATCTATTTTTAATAGAGGGAAAAGGGAAGTTTCAAGCTAACCCACCCTCAAACTCATGTACTTGATTAATTTATCTTTGCCACGGAAATCAAATCAGGTAAAAGGATTAAACTGAGGGTGCTTGGTGGGTTGGTTTTTTAACATTTAAAATTAAAAGCCGCATTCAGGCATCAAGATTCCTTCTTGCCGATTATTACACTTAAGTTTTGTTGAAAGACGCTGACAGCGCTTGTCCTTGGGAGTATGACTACACCGTGTTTCAGTTGCTTTCTACTCCGCAGGTAGGAATGATTTTGTGTGTGTGTGTGATAAATTAGGAGGAGGAGAGCAGCCAAGAACTGAATGCTATCGCAAAACGTCTTCCTCTGGTTACACTTCTTGCACTTTCTCCGCTATTGATCATTGTCTTAATAAATCTAGTCTGTCTTTTCAGATCAGCTCTGGGACAACCACCATGCCAGCTGGCGGGTGCTGAGTTTTGAAGTCATTTGTACACATGCAGCTCCTAGTATTGCACTGCTCAGCTACAGCACCGCTGAAACTTCAAGCTTTAACTGACTTTTATCATAAGTTAAAGTGCATAAAATTAGCAAGATACACCGCAAGAACTAGCATGAATATTCTGTAAATTTTTAGGCATCATAACCCTGTATATACGCTAGCTGACGATGAAACAAAAGTCCCAGCAGCAGTACAGGACCTTTACTGATTAACCTCTATGGCTTTGATTGTATGCCCTCAAACCACAGATTTCTCAAATTCCTTTGCCAGAAACAAGGTGATGACACTAAAGATAGCATTCCCCGTACTTCCAAACTTCCCAGAGATACTAGAAGAAAGTCTTGTGCCTGCAAGAGAGGCAAGGATGACGTAGTGCCTACATTGCAACATTAGTCCTTACAGCTTGTCAACGTTTATACCAGTGCTTGAAAGGGAATGCTTTCCTCCGCAATTCATCTTCCTGCAGCTGAAGTTGTTTCTTATACACGGCACTTATACCCTCAAATCTCACTAAATAACAAGCACTGCTCTAGATAGAGAGATAAAACCTATCCGACCCTACACACGGATCACAAAAAAATCCATGTTCTGAAGACGCTGAGGAAATTTTCAAAGGCATATGTAGTGCCAAGAGGGTTTTCTTCTCACGGAGAGTTAAGAGAATTAAGCATCCTTCCAATGCATGCTTTTTAAATCTGCCCCACAAACACTCCATCGTCTCCAGCGAGTCCCTTTAAGATGCTTATCGGTATCTCCATATTTGTGAAGTTGTTTAGAGCAGTGAAGATTTTACTGCTTACCTTGCACAAAACACACATTTTCCCAAGTGATGGCAGGTACTACATTTGAACCGCCTGTTTTGTTCAGTTCCTAGTTTGGATATTAATTCTCCTTCCCCTCCCACCCAACTTTCCCAAGTCCAACATCTGCAAAGACAACAACATTTTGGGGAAACTTTATCTGTCTTGTGTGATTCAGCACACAGGAAAACCAGTACAATGCTGCCTGCAAAAGCAGGCTTTCTCATGTTTGCCTCTAAATGAAAAAAAGTGCCGAAAGTTCCCATCGTTGTCAAGGACAGAGTGATAAGCACGCTTGGGAAATAAGAGACTTTCCTTTGCCAACACTGACCAGACCCTCCTTGAAAAACATCCTGGTGAACAAGCTGTAGCTAAACGAGAACAAATGCAATCAGGAATATTTTCTGTCAGCGTTTCAAAGCTCGAGGCATTACACTTGGGATTATGTCTAGAGCCTCTCCTTTCAGAGCCACCTGCACGAGCCGTTCCACTGTCACAACAACCAGCAGGAGCCCCTTCTGAACCAGGGACCCGGACCACACAGCTTCAGAGAAGCATTTTTCAATCGCTCTGCGTTTCTTGATATCGTCAGTTTTGGGAGAAGCAGGCCATTTCACTAAGCACGGCGTTGCTAAACTAGGAGCCTGTCCTTTGATAGGACGTGCAGCCAAAACCCAGGAGAAGCGCTGGTGAACTCGTGCCAGGGTTTAAATCGGCAGCATGGAATAGGGTCTCCTCCTGCGCAGCTGCGTTGGGGCTGGAGCAGGGAGGAAGCACGGGGAGTTGCCACCATCGCCAGGGAAATCAGCAGCCAGACACACTCTGGCCGGAGAGCCGTGGAACAGAGGTGGAAAGGGGACAGCCCAGGAAAGCGTGCTGGTGGTACCGCGGAGGCACCTCAGCTTCTACCAGGCCAGGATGCCTTTCAAACCCATCAGTGCCCCGCACAGAAACACATCCACCCCTCAGCCCAGACACACAACACACACTGCTATGGTGACACTCCGGCTCAGAAGAGCCCTTGACCTTCATGTAAATTCTTGAATTTTTCCCTGTTATAGACCAAATGAAAATACAATTGAAGTACATGCTTGATAAGGCAGAGTTGAAAACTAGTTATGATTTTTTAAGGCAGGCACAGAGGCTGCCAGAAAAACACTCCAAGCTAAGAAAGCAGTAAGAGCGCTGAAAATCCTATTTTAGTGATCACTAGGCTCCTGAATATCATCTCTTTAGAGGGATGACCCACCTACAACCCCCTTTGCAGTTCAAGCCAGCAATTATATTTGGGATGAAAAATTTTTCTATTACCTCCCATTTACCTGACAGTATAGAGAGCAAACTAAAAAACAGACACACACACACACAAAAAAAAAAAAAAAAAAAATTGAGAAAGCCAAACGAGCAAGGTTTCCTCTTTTGTGAGGAAGCAGAATGGAAAAGCAGGCTGAATACTGAAAGGCTGCCAATGACCTTACAAAGGACGTTTCTGTAACACTGTGCTGCAAACCACATTTAAACCGTTAACTCAAATTTAGTCAAGGTCTTCTTTCAGTGAAGCAGGATCTTGGAGGAGAAGTGAAAACCTACAGCATAAACTTAACGTTAAAGTGTTTGAGTAATTTAAGCACAGCTGGAAGTAGGAGAAGTTTGAAGGCTGATCGGCTATTAGAGATGACACCAGATAGCATCTTCCAGATCAGGGAGGACTTGAAAACTGGTGAGCAAGGCTGTGACACCAGCACGCACATTCCTCTATGGTCACCCTGATCAGCTGGGTAGATACATTGGAGCTCACCAGCAGACAAGGCAGCCAAAACCACCAACTAAAAAAGCTATAGGTTCCTACAAGGACATAGAGTTAGGTATTTGGACGTCATTAATCTTGATCAGCCATTTCCCCTCACTTCATTCCTGAGCGGGAGCAGCAGCAGCAGCGGGGAAATGCGAACCCAGCTCTAGAAATCTGGATACTTTGCTAGACGATCAAGGACAAAATTTAGGCTGAAGCCCTCAAAAGGGCAGGGTTTCTTCAAAAGTCTACTTCATATCACGCAGTAAAAATGACCACGGATTTACAGACTGCTGATCAACACAGGTCTATCTTAATACAGAACAAAAGTCATGAAAGATCTTCATTTGGTGGACACAACTCTGTCCGCTGTCCTGACAGTGTCCTCGCTCCACAGGCTAAGGGACCTCTGATCATGGGACTGCTGCCAACCCTTTGGGTTAACGAGGATGAATTTCACACGTAGGATTTGTAAGCAAAGAAACTCCACGATGAGGAAATAGCAAAGTAAGCAGCTGACAGTACAAAAAATAAAATAAAACAAAACAAAACACATAAAAAACCCCAAGTAGGTTGATGTGCTCTGAAACATTTGACGTTTTGTTAAAAAATAACCACAGCAGCGGTTTTTGATCTTAAGCAACATGTGTTTTGTAACAATGCAAGACAGCAAAGCTGGAACACGAGCCCAGATCAGAAGAGGTGGAAGAAGCAGTCGCATAGACTGCATAGGTAGGAGGAAAGGGAAACAGCACCTTTATGGTAAATATGCGAAGTCCTGGCCAATTACAAATTTAATTCTATCTACTACTCCCAAGGAAGAAAGAGTCTTTCCTGGAGAAAGTGTCAGCAAAGTTAGGAAAAGTCCATGCTGTTCATTTTTTAGAAAACAAATAGCAAAGACACTTTGGTTTTGCTTAATGCTTTGAGTTAAACTTAGAACATTTTTTTGCCCATTAAAAACAAGTAAATCATCATTTAACCAGATCTGAATTTCTCACTGCACCAGCTATCACAGCCAGACAATTAAGGTAAACCAAACTAACTGCAAACCAAAAGAATTCTACAAAACTGCTTGCTGAATTGCTTCATTGATTATGGCACTATTAACGCCTGCAGTCAACTTGTAAAGCATCAGGGATTAATATGAAGTCTTCAAGACTATTCAGAGATGTGAGCACATAAGTGCTAAATACTCCTTTTCAAGGTTTTCTTGAAATGGAAAGTGGAAAAAATGAAGCAACTGCCCTGAACACTGGATCTTAAGGAGTTCCTACTTTGTTTTATCATGCTGAATTTTGGGATCCTAAATGG